CCTACTGTTATTTGGTTTTCATTTGTTCAACCTGTTCAATCAATTCTGATTTCTTCCAAGTCTCAACTAAGTTATTGGTTGGTTTGCATTGGTTGTTCTCCTGGATTTGGTCTGTCTTGGAGCTTTGTTTCTACTGCACTGTTTGCTGCTGTTATTTTGTTACTGCTTGTTCCATCGGCTATAGTTGCATCTTGCACTGGGATTTGTTCTATTGTCATCTGCTGTTACTGCTGCTGTTTCTGTCGCCATTGTTACTCCACTGACTTCTCCTCTTCTTCTGTTATATTCAACATCCAGGTACACATTTCCTATTGATGTAACCATGAAAGGCATGAATTGAAATATCTGAAGAATTTTTAATAGTCTGTTGCTTTGTTTACAGCTTTGCAAATATTGTTAAAGTTGTATAAATTCTTTAATCTGTAGCCTAATAGAAAAACATTAGTAAGTTTGTACTCAATTGAAACTATTCTGGTCTAAAATTGCGATATGGTTGGTTTAGCAGTACACATGATATAGCCGTATAATTTATGGAATGCGCTATCATCTAGTATAATTATTAATTCATTTTTTAGCAATTTTTTATGTAAGGTGGACGTTTCTCTTTAATTTCGCAAAAATACAATACCATTCTAGATTCTCGAGTTTCAACTTCATTAGGCAGTTCATAGGACGAGTTCCAAATATCATTAGTAGCATCCTCTAATAAGTGGTCTTGATTAATCCTGTTTTAAATGAGTTAAATTTAATTCAAGGAGCGTTTGTAGTAGTTGTAGCGTTTCATCAATCTTGTATGTAATTTTCATCAAAATAAAGTATGTTCCATGAAGTCTAATATCCTTCATTTTGTAAATAATCAATCAGATTATTAATAAGAGGCCAGGATTAGTTAAGCAGGCCACTTAATCAACATACATTTTTCTTTCTTTTACTAGAGACGAACATAATAGAAATGTAGTCACTTTAGGACGTCTTTTTTTAAAAAAGTAATGAGACGAGCCTCGCCAAACAAAGATACACATTGCGGGGCCCTCAATAATTGATCATAATGAACACATAGGTTTGGGATGGACTGTCTAGAAAGGTTCACTCCTTCCCCAAAGATAATAACGCGTTAGGCTCTTTAGGCGCGACTTAATTAAATTACATTCTTAAATTCGGGTGCACATTGATGTGACCCATATCCAAATCTCAACGGAGTCAAGATGTGTTAACAACTACGGGTGCATTGATTGCGACGTGGTTCAAGATGCATTTTCACGACATTGCAATTCTATAAAAAATGGTAATAATGAAAGCGGTTTAAACTTAATAAAAGCACATAAGTCACAACATGTATTTAAATCAGATATTTAGCCATTATAACAATTTAAGCGACCGTGCTAGAACCACGGGATTTGAGGGTGCCTAACACCTTCCCTCGGGTCAACAGAATTCCTTACTTAGAATTTCTGGTTCGCAGACTTCATTTGGAAAAGTCGAAAATTTCCTCGATTTGGGATTCAAGATAAACCGGTGACTTGGGACACCAAAAGCCAAACCTTTCCCAAGTGGCGACTCTGAATTAAAATAAATAATCCCATTTCGAATATCGTCACTTAAATTGGAAAAACTCCCATCGCGCATTTTACCCTTCGGGGCGGGGCGCGCAAAAAGGAGGTGTGACACCGGCAAGGGAGACAATAATATAAACCTTTTCTCTTTACCCTAATTTCTTCACAACTCATTTCTCAACTTGAGCCAACGCTCCACAATGCTCAATTATCAATAATACTTCCACAAGCCTTGTTCAACAATAGAAATCATCATATAAAGCATGAACAATACGAAACGGAGTCACATTAGTCATATTATAAGTCTCACGGGTATGCTTGACATCAACGTATAGATACTCGTCACCATGCCTATACGTTGTACTCAACAACTGACATGTAGCAAATTAGTCACGACCCCAATCCCTCAAGCTAAGGTTAGACCAAACACTTACCTCGATGGCACGAACACAATTCAAGCCTCAACTACCGCTTTACATCTTTTTTCCACCACCAATTTCGCTTGTATCTAACCACAATTTACTTAACGATATCAATAAATGCTAAATGAATCAATTATAATGCATGAAAATAGGTTTTCCAATGATTTCCCCAAAAAGTCAAAAATCGACCCTGGTCCCACATGGTCAAAACCCGAGGTTCGAACCAAAACCCGACTACTCATTCACCCACGAACTCAAATATATAATTTGTTTTAAAATCGGACCTCAAATTAAGGTCCAAATCCCCAAAATTTTAAAAACCTAAGTTCTACCCAAAACACCCAATTTCCCCATGAAAGTCCTTGATTTTAGGTTGAAATCATGTGAAAAGATGTTAAAGATTAATGAAAACGAGTTAGAAATGACTTACATTCGATTTGGAAGAGTACTTGTCTTTGAAAAATTGCCCAAAGGTGTTTTCGGTTTGAGAGGGTTTGAAAATTGAGAAATTTTAGGCTAAGCTATGATTTAGTAGGTTGCAGATGTCGCAATTGCGACCAGGGTTCGCAATTGTGAACCCTTAAGGAACCTGCTGACTTCACAAATGCGAAGGATATGTCGCATTTGCGACTTCTGGCATTAACAAAAGACTTCGCATTTGCGAAGTGTACCTCGCAAATGCGAGATAAGGCTGGCCCGGGATTCTTCGCATTTGCGACAAAAACCTCGCATTTGGGAACCCTGCTTGCATCGCAATTGCGATGCCTGATCTCGCAAATGCGAGATCAGAGGCCTACTACAAACCTGCAACACACCAGCAATTCTCCTAAGTCCAATTTCACTCTGTGGCCTATCCAAAACTCACCCGAGCCCTCGGGGTTTAAAACCAAACATGCACACTAACCTAAAAACATCATATGGACTTGCTTGTGCAATCAAATCATCAAAATAACATTAGCAACTATGAATTAAACCCCAAATTCATGAAATCATTCAAGAACACCAAGATTTTCAATTTCTCAACTTTAAGTCCGTTTTATACCAAACCAATTCCGATCTTTACCGAATTTTATAGATTCAACCTAATTATTATTTCAAACTTGTACCGGGCTCCGAAATCAAAATACGGGTCTGATACCATCAATTTCACACATCTTTCATTTCACAAAACTCTTATATATTTCAGAAAATAATTTTCTTTAAAAATTAATTTCTCTGGCTTGGGACCTCGGAATTCGATTCCGGACATATGCCCAAGTCCCAAATTTTACTACGGACCTTACGAGACCGTCGGATCACGGGTCCGGGTCCGTTTACCAAGAATGTTGACCAAAGTCAACTTAAATTTATTTTAAAAGCAAAATTTATTATTTTTTACAGATTTTTGCATAATGGCTTTCCGGATACACGCCCGGACTACGCACGTAAATCGAGGTGAGACAAAAAGAGGTTTTTAAGGCCTCGAAACACAGAATCAACCTGTCAATTAACTATTACTTCGCCTATATATATTGTTATCATCCAATTTAGCAAACATATTAACTTACAAAAGAATTTTGCCTTTTAATAAATTAAAATAATAATAAATACTTACAGCTAATAATAATTATATTAACATTGAAAGTATAAATATCTTTAATGGACTAGAGAATTTATTTCTTGTTTCTACTTGGTCTGTCCAATACATATAAATGTACTAGCACAAAAAATCAGAATTATATCATTCCTATAATTAAAATAAATTATATTTAATCTTATACTACAAGCATTCTGATGGCTTCTCCGATAACATCTTAGATTGTGAACATAATCTTTATAATTTTTAAGACCTGATGATTAAATCTTTTGTACCTAAGCTAAACTCTATACGCTAAATAATATATAAGGGACGCACAAACAATTAAATTCTTATTATAATTGAATAAACAATTATTCTATAATAAATAGTATATCTAAATAGTATATCCCAACTAAAGCCTTCTTAACATAATTCAAAAACTGTTTGATTAAAATAAATTATATTTATTATTATTCTATAATAAATAGTATATCTAAACAATGATGATTCCTTTGAACATCTTGGACAGGAATTTCTCGGTGAAGCCATCCCGTCAACTCTCGGCAATTGGATACTATTGTTGTTATTATGTTCAATGGAGTCATATGCCACTTGGTTTTTCTCATTTGTGTTGATTGACATATCTACAATCATGTTCTTAGTTTAAATTGATAGCAAACACAAATAGAAAGACTTTTAGTATATTTGGATGAATGGCGAAATTGCTCTAGTCTCACGGTGGCATCAAACTGTTTAACCCCAATTAGATTATTAAGATAAAACAATTAAATTTGCAGTTGAGGCTTAAAGCTACATATTCAATTCAAATAATAACTAGACAGTTAAGATAAAATATGAAATAAGACAATAAATTGTAACGCAAGAAAGGAAAAGAGATGTTAATCAGTGGTCTCTTGGGACTTGAGTGCTCGGAGCCTGATTAGAGAGAAGTTGGGAGACTACCAAAGATAAAATAATAAATTTTTAATTTAAATAGTGATTGTAGAGATTCTAGATTCTCCATTCGAATGTACAAATGTTAGTTTTTATAATAGTGAATCTAGGTGTTGTTTCGTTGAGTCAAATTGCTATTACACTAATTCAATTTTGGCCATTTGAATGGTTTGTAACGGCTGATTTAATGTTGGATCTTATAACCGTAGAGTAAATGATGAATAACGGATAAGTTGACGTCTGTTGACCTGCTATCCTTCTTATCTGTGACTCCCCAATCATTCATAAACATTCCGGACATTCGACTTCCTCTCCGAGCATGGAGTTGATCTTTTGAGGACTATATTGTCTATGTACGATCTCTGAATTTTGGGTTTACATTTGTCACGACTCAACTTTCACCAGTGTCGCGACGATACCTAAAACCTCTTGCGAGGTAAGCCAACAATTCCACAATAAAAAATAGATTCAGTAAAATAGAATTTTAATAAACTCAATAATGGAGATATCATGAAATAACTGGGAAACAACACTATTATTTCTACAACCATCCCAATGATATGGTGTCAGCGAGTACATGGACGCTACTGAATATCAAAATACAAGACCAAATCCTCAATACAACTGTCTGAAAATCACGTGCTTACAGTAATAACATAAATAAATGAAAGAAAACTTCAAGGTCTGCGGACAACATATCAGCTACCTCGTAGTGTCCAAAATGCTAGAACCAAATCAACTCTAGCAATCAACATGCACCGAAGTACCTGGATCTATACACGAAGCACAGAGTGTAGTATGAGTACAACCAACCCCTTGTACTTAATAAGTAACAAACCTAACCTTGGGCTGAAAGTAGTAATAAGCTTAGAAGAAACAGTTAGAGAACAATACTAATAACCAATAACAGCTCACGATATAAAGGAAATAGTATAAGTAAATAACTCAATGATATTATGTTCAACTCGTTCACATTTTAGGAATTTAAACATGATTTCCAAGTATAACAGTTAAAGCCTACACGGATAAAATATTTCAATTATTAGCCAGAATGATAAAAGTACATCTCTATAACTACATGTCAAATATATATATCATCTCAATATCATCAAAGTAAAACCCTAAAAATTAATCACACTTAGCACGTTCACGGTGCTTGGCATAAGGCCCTCACCATGAGACACATCAACACTTAGCACGGTACGGGTGCCTGGCATAAATGCCCCTCACCAAACTACATATATATAGCATTGTGCCGGCGCTCACTGCTGGCATGTCAGACTTCGGAGGGGGGATCCTGTCCAAGCGATAGTCATAATCACACAATAGTGGGGCCTGGTGCATGCGTCGCCCAAAATGAGTAACACTTAGCCCAATATGTGTCGCGACCCTAAAACTGGCCCGATCGTGATAGCACCTATCGTGAAACTAGGCCAGCCGACACAACTCCCGAATTAATCATTTATCAATAAAAGTCATTTTTATGTTTTTACTTAATCAAATATTTCATAATGAAAGTCTAAATGAACGGTGTGGAATAAATACACAAGCCCGACATCGGGGTGTCACAAGTCACGAGCATCTACTAAGGTCTGAATACAACGAAGAGTCTAAAAATGTACTAAATACAGTCTAAGAAAGACAAGAGGGAGAAAAGCAGTGCTGCGAACGTCGGGCAGCTACCTTGCTAACTCCGATGACTCTGCCACTGAGCAATCAACACCCGCTACCGGGTCCAGAAAGACCTAAAATCTATACACAAGGTGCAGGGAGTAATGTGAGTACGCCAACTCAGTAAGTAATAAAAGTAAATGAAAGCTGAGCAGTAAAAAAATATGTAAGCCACGTCATAACGCTACAGCAAATGCAATACATTTCCAAAATAGTACATAAATCATTTAATTCGTAAATCAAGCTTAGTTTCAGTAAAACCTTTTAAAATAACTTTCAATAGTTTCAAACGAGTGATAAAACAATGAGTAAAAATGATATGGAAACATAAATAGCCTCTCGAGCAAAACATGTACCATAAACCACCCCTCGGGCATAATATCAACAGAACCAGCCCCTCGGGCTACCTCGCAATCACTCATAATCAGCCCCTCAGGCATAACATGAATCAATAACCGCCCCTCGGGCAAACATGGTTCAAGAACATCCCATCGGGCTTCAATATGAAACAACAACAGCCCCTCAGGCTACAACATATTACTCACACTGGGTACCCGCGCTCACTAGGTGTGTACAGATTCCGGGAAAGGCCCCTTATGGCCCAAGCTCAATAACAAGCCATCTCGTGGCATAATCAAATTGGCTCTCGGCCTCATATCAATCCACCTCGTGGTGTAACAAATCAGGCCCTCGGCCTCATAATCATGAATCAATACAACATCGTTGCGGCGCGCAGCCTGATCCCACAGTATCCTCACAACACAGACCCTCGACCTCACTCAGTCAGAAATCTCTCATGCCACTCGGGAAACAGTAAAACATGATGCTCAGCCCAAAATATCATTTAAAATATCAAAACGGAGTAAATATGGCTGAGTTATGAAAACAGTAGAATATAGCATGACTGAGTACAAATATGAAGTCAAAATAATGAGGAATAGTAGTAAAAATCCCCTAAGGGTCCAAAACAGTTGGCACGAGACCCAAAAATGGCATTCAGCCCAAAATAGGATAATACTTTTCAAAACACAATGATAGCAAATAGTTTTCAATCAAATACGCAGTTTAACAGTCATACGGGACAGACTAAGTCGCAATCCCCAACGGTGCACGACCTCACGCTCGTCATCTAGCGTATGTATCACCTCAAAGTAGCACAACGATGTGAGATCCGGGGTTTCATACCCTCAGGACAAACATTTACAATCATTACTTACCTCAACCTGGTCCAAACTCTAGCTCGCGATGCCCTTACCTCTTAACTCGGTCTCCAAATGCTCCAAATCTAACCAAATACAGATTTATACCATCAAAATATTCTAAGGGAATAAAGCCCACTCAAAATAATCAATTTACATCAAAAATCCCGAAATTGGCAAAACCCGACCCCCGGGCCCACGTCTCAGAATCCGATAAAAATCATATCAATAGAATTCTTATTCCACCACGAGTTCATTCGTACAAAAAGTACCAATATCGCACCTCAAATGGCCCCTCAAATCACCACTCAAAGCTCTCAAATTAACCAAGCCCTAACCCCCAATTCACCACTGATTTTCCGTTAAATTTTCATGCTAACAATGATAAAATCACAATAATAACGAGCTTAGCAACCAAAGGCCTTACCTCAATGAATCCCTCTGAAAATCTCCCTTGAAATTGCTCCCAAAAGCTTCTTCCCAAATGAAATATTGAGAAAAATGACCAAAAATCGCCAAGGGTGGAATTTATAGTTTCTTACCCAGCAAAACCGCACCTGCGGTTAAATGGTTGCACCTGTGGACCCACACCTGCGGTCCCAGGTGCGCACTTATGAAATTCACTTAAAACTCCAAGGCCACATTTGTGCTAAAAAATCCGCACCTGTGCAATCGCAGGTGCGACCAGGACCTCGCTTCTGTGGTCCCAGCCTTCCCCTCTCCTGGCCGCTTCTGCGACTCCAAAATCTCCTTTTATGAGACTGCACCTGTGGTCCCCTAGCCGCAAGTGTGGTTATGACAGCAACAGAAAAACTTTAGATGCCAAACCCAACTCAAAATCACCCGTTAACCACTCGAAATCACCCCCTGTGAAACCTCAACCAAAAGCACGAACAAGTCATATACCACTATCCAAACTTATGCCAATCTTTAAAACACCTCAAACAACATCTAATCAACCAAATAACATCGGATTCATGCCTAAGGTTTCAGGAATCTTCCGAATTCCGCTTTTGATCAAAACGTCTACCAAACCTCGTCCGAATGACCTAAACTTTTGCACACACATTACATTTGACACAACGAACTTATTGCAACTTCCGGAATTCCATTCCGACCTCTATATCAAAAGCTCCCCTATCAACCGGAAAATACCAAAATTCCAATTTCGCTAATTCAAGCCTAAATTTAATCTGGACCTCCAAAACGCATTCCGATCACGCTCCTAAGTCCCAAATCACCAAATGGAGCTAACCAAATCATAAAAATTCAAATCCGAGATCATATACTAACAAGTCAAAACTTGGTCAAATCTTTCAAATTTTAAGCTTCAAACTGAGAACTGTCCTTCCAAATCCATTCCGATTACCCTGAAAACCAAAACCAACGATTTGCGTAAGTCATAATACATCACACGGGGCTAGTCATGCTCGAGAATTGGCGAGCGAAGTGCAAAAACTCAAAACGACTGATTGGGTCGTTACATCCTCCCCCACTTAAACATACGCTCCGAAAACCATCAAATCGCTGTGAAACCTTACCATGCACATACCCGGGGGTGATCCCACGTCACCCTATCTCATATAGGTCCAATAACACAATATAACTGAAATTTCTTAATCCAACCTAGCCTATAAACCTTAGAACCACATTTCCACTTCTGAAATCATCTACAAGATCAGAACCTCACATCTATACTCCGAATAAGCCCGGACAAGCTGTAACAAACCTTACCTGCAGCCTCAGATGCAATTACATGATATACCACATAGCTCAAACTCTCCTAGTGATAACTTCTAATCACAACAGTTGCTCAGAACAACTGAATATCAATAATAAACCTCTTATCAAATAAAGCCTCATTCCAACACTTCCGCATACTGCCAATGATAAATGAAACATGTAGAAAGTCCTAACCATTCCTCAAATCAACCATTCATGAAGCCACTTCTTCTTTGTCAAGGACCATAGCAAATTTTTGAGCCAAATATCGATCTTATCCTTCCAACACACTGAAATCGAATCCGTTTGTATTCATTCTAGATCCCAACGATATCATCTAATCCAACACAACTACTTTGGTGACACGACACATCAATACAATCTAAAGCCATAACTCGTGCAATTCGTGCACTAATAAGCAACAATCCGAACGTACCCAAATCATGAAAAAAATGGCTCAAATGAGAGAGTTATACCGCAAGCTCACAAGTACCACCACACACAATGTTGAGAACCCGTCACACATCGTAGAAATAGAACACACGAATCTAACCCGAAGGTTCATAACTCCACATAACTTCCCTGCAATGCGCGACCCTATCCAAACACTGGTCCACATGAAACACCTCAAGTCACTATGCTCAAAATCGACAACCATGCGCAATTTGATATCTAGAACCAAAGCAAATCATCATAACCACGGCGAAGCAAGTGACATAAAATTACACAAACCCGAAAGGACACATCCGTTATGCCATCCGCCGAGCAATACCCAATACTCTTCCCGCTCGAATTCCACTGAGAGATCCCAATAAAACTGTACCATATGGGCCTATAGCCAATCAATCCTAATGCCTCGCAACACCAAAAGGTAACTCACAGATCTCCTAGATCTCTAATAAGCTCAATAACAATCGAATCAACACATCCCTCAACAGTACAACTCAAAGTCAACCAAGCTGGTGCCAAATGATACGGTGCCCGACACCAAATCAATACCGAAATCGACAACCCTATCTGGCGATATGCCCGACAGTAGGAAACACATCCGAAAAATCCCTCACCACTGGAACTGAATCAATGGTAGAAGTCTCTGCACTGACATCCAACATGAAGGCCAAATAAGAAAGACAACCCCTAGGCCTTAAAAAATGAAACCACCCTACTGGGTACATAATTCGTCGAACCTCGCCACTCAATCTGTGGCATCCCCGGCATAGCTAAGGCTGCCGCCTTAGCGCAACAGCCCAAAATAACATGACACTGAGACAACCAGTCCATACCTAATATCATACCAAAATCTAGCATACTAAGCAATAAGGATCCACTCAGGTCTCCAAACCTGCAATAGTTAACATACAAGACCGATATACTTGGTCCACAACCACGACCTAACCTGTTTATGAGAACTCCCAGTCTCCAAATCCATACAGCACACAAATCACCATATCCATTCCCCACTCCACCGTCCTAATATACAATACACCTCTAACATCCAATCATCCCATGAGAGGTACTCCTTTAATTCTTCTGTGCCACCAACAACTCGAATATCAACAGTCGATCCAACAAGAGAGTGACGCAATACTAATGAAGTATCATCAACTCAATCACATAGCCCTTTTCTGAAACGTATACCCTCATCGAGCCACACCAATTAGTGATATCATTTCCCTAATCATCCAAACTGTCCATGTTACCCAAGGATTTGTGACCTTCCTTTCAAAATTGAATCGTGGCCTTACACAAGCAAATCTCAATCCTACACAACATACCGCATATAACCATACCATCCTAGGATAAACATGAGAACTTTATGTCCCTTACGAGCCACAAGCAACCTCGTACTCAACATGCCAAGAACTTTCCATTGATTCCATTTAGAAGAAAATCGCTATACATCCCATGCTCCTCACGCTCAAAATATACGTCTCTAACCGTGGTAGAAACCATCAAGAACCCTCTAAATTCCGTTTGCACAAAACCAAACCGTCAGGACTGAATCCTTCTAACACAACCAAGCTACGCAGGCCACTGAAACCCAAGAGCATTGCCGCAACACACCTATAGAAACTCATTACCTCGTAAGCACCCAAAGAACTAGTCATATCCATACCATGCCGATCCGGCCTACTACCATGATATCCTATCTATCCTAGT